GCTTCAGCGCTGGTACTCATTACTGCCTCCGCTCTCGCTCGAGGATGCCCCGGAACAACAAGTACAGCCAACGCCAAACATTTCGAATTTCCTCCGAGGGATATCATAGTCGTACCAGTGCTTCCTGACTGCCGCGATCAGATCTCGCCAAGTAGATCTACGATGTATCATTTTTTATGATCATCACTATAGCCGATGAAAAATGTATACAATAAAATCATTTTGACAAAGAAATCGTATCATTATAGCCGATATATTACTATAGCCGATTATTACTATAGCCGATCCGATATGTATAGAAAGGGGTGGTTTACGAAAATGAATTTGAGAATACGATCACTATAAGAGGTATATTACTATAGCCGACAACCCTATAGCCGATCCGCACTGTACTTGCTGTTTGAAATTTTGTACTTGGTATTGTGTGGTATGGCTGGGTAGTAATACATGTATAGCAAATCTGTGTGTCTCTGTGTATTATATTCACTTCTGTTCCTCGCTACAGGTGATATGCAATGGTGGCACGAATCACCCATCAACTATTGGGCAGCATTTGTTGTGGCTACATTCATTGTGCCGGTCTTTTCTCTTCTTCTACCTCTCTATGTAAGTCTGGCGTACAGTAGTATCAGGCACTGAAGAACTGGGGAGGGTCAGCCTCCTAGCCTAGACCGTTCCTATTTTCATGCATTACAGTCTATGTCAGTTGAGTCACCGTGTCTATGTTGGTGTGCTGTGCTTGATGAAATTCTAGCCTGGCCGTTCTTCGGCGCCCGACAGTACTGCAGTGCTCAATGTGCACTCACACATACCGGTACTGACAGTACTGCAGTGCTCAATGTACACTCACACATACCTGTACTGACAGTACTGTAGTGCTCTATGTACACTCACACATACCGGTACTGACAGTACTGTAGTGCTCAATGTACACTCACACATACCGGTACTGACAGTACTGCAGTGCTCAATGTACACTCACACATACCGGTACTGACAGTACTGCAGTGCTCCATGTACACTCACACATACCGGTACTGACAGTACTGCAGTGCTCAATGTACACTCACACATACCGGTACTGACAGTACTGCAGTGCTCAATGTACACTCATACATACCGGTACCGACAGTACTGCACTGCACAATGTACACTCACACATACCGGTACTGACAGTACTGCAGTGCTCAATGTACACTCACACATACCGGTACCGACAGAACTGCAGTGCTCAATGTACACTCACACATACCGGTACTGACAGTACTGCAGTGCTCCATGTACACTCACACATACCGGTACTGACAGTACTGCAGTGCTCAATGTACACTCACACATACCGGTACTGACAGTACTGCAGTGCTCAATATACACTCATACATACCTGTATTGACAGAACTGCAGTGCTCAATGTACACTCACACATACCGGTACTGACAGTACTGCAGTGCTCAATATACACTCATACATACCGGTACTGACAGTACTGCAGTGCTCAATGTACACTCACACATACCAGTACTGACAGTACTGCAGTGCTCAATATACACTCATACATACCGGTACTGACAGTACTGCAGTGCTCAATGTACACTCACACATACCGGTACTGACCGTACTGCAGTGCTCAATGTACACTCATGCATACCGGTACTGACAGTACTGCAGTGCTCAATGTACACTCACACATACCGGTACTGACAGTACTGCAGTGCTCAATGTACACTCACACATACCGGTACCGACAGAACTGCAGTGCTCAATGTACACTCACACATACCGGTACTGACCGTACTGCAGTGCTCAATGTACACTCATACATACCGGTACTGACAGTACTGCAGTGCTCAATGTACACTCACACATACCGGTACTGACAGTACTTTAGTGCTCAATGTACACTCACACATACCGGTACTGACAGTACTGCAGTGCTCAATGTACACTCACACATACCGGTACTGACAGTACTGTAGTGCTCAATGTACACTCACACATACTGGTACCGACAGAACTGCAGTGCTCAATGTACACTCACACATACCGGTACTGGTATGGTATACGTAAGCCTTGTATGATACAATGTAGTTTACGTTTTTCTCACGTTCGAAATTGAAAAACGTGAAGCGTCAACTTTCCACAGTGTAGGAATAAAGTACAGTGTGCTATCACCTGATACAGTGCAGTGTGCTATCACCTGATACAATGCAGTGTGCTATCACCTGATACAATGCAGTGTGCTATCACCTGATACAGTACAGTGTGCTATCACCTGATACAGTGCAGTGTGCTATCACCTGATACAATGCAGTGTGCTATCACCTGATACAATGCAGTGTGCTATCACCTGATACAGTACAATGTGCTATCACCTGATACAGTATAGTGTGCTATCACCTGATACAGTACAGTGTGCTATCACCTGATATAGTGCAGTGTGCTATCACCTGATACAGTATAGTGTGCTATCACCTGATACAGTACAGTGTGCTATCACCTGATATAGTGCAGTGTGCTATCACCTGATACAGTATAGTGTGCTATCACCTGATACAGTACAGTGTGCTATCACCTGATATAGTGCAGTGTGCTATCACCTGATACAGTATAGTGTGCTATCACCTGATACAGTACAGTGTGCTATCACCTGATACAGTACAGTGTGCTATCACCTGATACAGTATAGTGTGCTATCACCTGATACAGTATAGTGTGCTATCACCTGATACAGTGCAGTGTGCTATCACTTGATATAGTGCAGTGTGCTATCACCTGATACAATGCAGTGTGCTATCACCTGATACAGTACAGTGTGCTATCACCTGATAAAGTGCAGTGTGCTATCACCTGATACAGTGCAATGTGCTATCACCTGAACACTACACTGTGACACGTGCAACATCATTGGCTTGCTTCATGGATAATGTGCATTTGAAGAGCTGGAATGCAAAACCCTCTGAATCCATATTTTGTCGATTTTCAGTTAACCCTAAATCTGGATCAGCTCACAGAGTGCTTTCAGTGTGTACCGGCATCTCTCTTTCTCTTTTCTTTCTTTTTTTAGCGCTTGGCAAGATTTTCATTCCAGCTTTTCGTTTTCTTTCTTCCTGATGTGTTCCTCCCAGCTCAATCTTCTGGGCACAAGTTTGGTTGGGAGCTTCACGTTTGTGATGGGTAAGTGAAGTGTCATGTTTGTGATGGGTAAGTGAAGTGTCATGTTTGTGATGGGTAAGTGAAGTGTCATGTTAGTGATGGGTAAGTGAAGTGTCATGTTTGTTTGCTGCCGGTTGTCCTGGTCATGGGCATACATGTATACAGTCATGTACTCTCTTTTTCTCTCACACGGACTGTCTGTCTGTCTGTCTGTCTGTCTGTCTGTCTGCCTGCCTGCCTGTCTGTCTGACTGTCTGCCTGTCTGTCTGTCTGTCTGTCTGTCTGTCTGTCTGTCTGTCTGTCTGTCTGTCTGTCTGTCTGACTGTCTGTCCATCTGTCTGTGCTACACTCTGTTGTTGTTGTGTGTTGTGGTATACGGGTGCAGAACAAAGACTTTCTTCCCCCTCCCCTCCCCCCCCCCCCCCCCAATGGCATGAGCCCAGCAGGAGTGCTACATACATACTTTAGTGAGGGTGTAGCCGAAGGGTAGTTTACTAGTTTTTCACGTTTGCTTACGGTCATAGATGGACTCCTCCTCTCAAGTTCTGCGCATAGCAGCTTTCTTGTTGCCGTGTCCTTGTGAAATTGTTCAGTCTCTTACAGTAAAAGACTATCAAGGATATCATTCTCTGCGTTGGTGTTTGCACCCCACACACCATCCACACATGGGGGCCTGCGTCGTTCATGTGACAGTCCAGATATCAGATGTGATGCAATATTCTCCTTGTGCTAAGCGGTGCACTTGTTGTTGCTGCATACCTGCTAAACTTTGCAAACCTGAGATCAGAACAATGACATACCTAGGTACGGAAAGTATACAAATGTTGCTTCCGGGGAGGCATGCGACCAATGCACTTTGGGGCGCCTATTACCACCCTCAATATGGGGACGGTCCCGGCCAAATCTGGATGACTGGCATGCAAGTTTCTGTGTCTGTTATCACCGTGTTCTGCAGCCCTCACTCAGTTTGTGGACAGTAGCTTGTCAATGATGGTTGTGGATATCGTCCTGCACGCTACGCAGGCATCATCCAGCGCTAGCAATAGCATATACAGTGGATATGTACTCTCCTCCACTGGTATGTCACACACTCACACACACACACACACACACACACACACACACACACACACACACACACACACACACACACACACACACACACACACACATCACTGCGTGCACTCTATGCGCAACTACGGTCTAACCTGGCTAAGACAACCGCTCAAGGGACATTCAAAACGTGGTCTCTGTTGCCAGGTCGTCTTCTTATCCAGGGTCATTTGACTGGAAATAGCATCCTTTGGTCCTGGTTGTGGTGGTCTTCTGGGACAGGTGGTCACCTTATCCGAGTGGTCGCCTTGACAGGTTTAACTGTATTTGATCTCTGGACTTTATCAAATCCTATTTTAATCTGAAGTAGGCTCAAACGTGAAGTAAAGTTTGCACGTCCGCATTACAACCGGTTATACAATTGCATTGAGAAACACAACCAGCTTAATTAGGCTCAAAACCAAAATAATTCCGCTGGAAATGGGTTTTGGACTAGCATGTCTGTACGATTAATAATGCTAAACTTGGCTGAAAACTTAGAAAAGGTCGACAGTTGACCCATGTCTGACGAAGAGGAGGATGATCATCCTTTTCTAAACGGACCCTTTCTTCTCCTTTTCAGAACAGCTCCGTTCGATTGAAAATAGCACAACAACAACAACAGCAATGAGCCCCTGTGCAATGACACTGTTTGTGCTGGGAGCACCCCCCCCCCCCCCACACACACACACTGGCCATGGTTGTGTTAGGGTGTTGAACATTACATCACTTTCAAACGTCAGTTTGAAGGCATTGTCAAAAATCCTGAAATTGCCACTCCAATTTTTCTACGAAAACACTTGTTTGACTTTTTGTCTTATCTATGCACCTTGTTCTGTTGTCAAGATATCTACCTCTCAGTAGTTGGTGGAGCGTTGTTCCTGATTGGCTTTCTGGTTCAGCTAGTATGGCACAAGAAATCCGGCCGTCCAAACTTCCCACCGTGTCCCACTGCTAAATCACGCCGTTCACTGGCAGCTGCAAGATCACGGAATGCACGTGGCAGGCACCAGGGTCGGGGTAAGTTGCTCTGAGTCTGATTGGATATAGCCTAGGCACTTGACTCAATACTAGCTTGATCAATAGCTTGATCAATAGCTTGATCCATAGCTTGACTCAATAGCTTGATCTTTAGCTTGACTCAATAGCTTGATCAATAGCTTGACTCAATAGCTTGACTCAATAGCTTGATCAATAGCATGGTCAATAGCTTGGTCATTGTACCGCGCAGTAAACTAGTCGCTGTGCTGTTATTCCTTAGCAGTTCTATTCTAGCCATGGCGCTCCTGCTCTTGCTCTTGATGCTGTTGCTGCTACTCTTGCTCTTGATGTTGCTGCTACTCTTGCTGTTGCTGCTACTCTTGCTGTTGTTGCTACTCTTGCTGTTGCTGCAACTCTTGCTCTTGCTGCTGTTGCTGCAACTCTTGCTCTTGCTGCTGTTGCTGCAACTCTTGCTCTTGCTGCTGTTGCTGCTACTCTTGCTGTTGCTCTTGCTGCTGGACACGATATTTTTTTAAAGCTCAACAAAATGTGAGAACAGAAAGGAAACATGGGAACGCAACACATTCAAAGCTGCTGCAGCTGCTATTGCTGTCGCTGCCACTATTGCTGTCACTGCTGCTATTGCTGCTGTTTCAAGAGAGGGCTCTAATCAGATGAGTAAGGTAGTCTCCCGTAACCACGGTATCAGTTTGACTCCCATAGGCTACATTTGTCATGACCAGTAGTAGGGCAGTGAGTTTGTTTCACATCGATGTGATTCTTATATTTCACAAAATAACAGCGTGTGTGTCTGTCTGTATGTCTGTCTGTCTGTGTCTGTCTACATGTGTCTGTGTGCGTGTGTCTGTGTGTGTCTGTGTGTTTGTATGTGTGCCTGTATGTGTGTGTGTGTCTGCTTGTGTCCATATTGATCCACAGAAGAAGGCGGATCGTTCCTGGACAGTCCCCCAATGAGTCCACCTGCCAGTAATAGCAGCAGCAGTGTGGGTGGTGGTAGCTCGCGCCGTCGCGCACACCACCCGGGGGGCATCAGGGGCAGCAGTGGCAATACACGCTACCAGAACTTACAGCCGGTCAGCTCCACCGACCGCGGTTGGACGGTACGAGGGCAGCAGAGACGGGGGCAGACGGCACGCAACACCCATCGGGCTGCAGGTACCGGTGAACGGGCACCGTTGCTAAGCAACACCCTGACCAATGACATGCCCCCTCCATACGGTAGTGTTCAGGCCAGGGAGGATCAACCCCTGCCACCTGTCATTGCTCTTGTACCGTCGCCTGAACAAAGCCTGAATGCGAGCGGCGTCGCAGCCTCCATTGAACACCCATTGTCCACCGCCGATTGATGACAGCTAGCCCTCTAAGTGGCTGGCTCTTTTATTTTAATTATTCCCATGTGTTCTTCCTCTAAGTGTCCCGCTCTTGATTTTCTTCACTGTGATCACTGCATCACCGTCAGCTTGCAAGTTGCCCACTCGGCGCAAGCGGCAGCAATGGACTGGTTCCACCTTCACCGATTCTCCTCTACCTCCTCACCCGCTACAGCTACATGCGGCTACCGGGGAACATCTTAAAATTTACACTCTTGTCTTTTTGGAATTCAATGGAAACTTCAGTGATAATCTCTAAAGCAGCTGAAGCCCATTCACTTGCTATTTTATTCATTAATTTTACCGTCACATACACATAATTATATCTCCTGCCTGGAGCTGGATTGACTAATATTATTTTTTCTTGTTGTTTATATGCAGCCGTTGTTCGTTTCCGCAGACACCAAGTCCAATTGGACAATCACGGATGGCTAGTGTTGCTCTAAGCGCTGTCCACTTTCTTACTCTGCTGTGTCCATTTGTCCCGGAATCCTTCGTCCGCAGATTATTCTATCCTGGTGTTATTTTTGGATTCCGCTGCATGCCTCTAACCCTTGACAGTTTCTGCTGCACAATACTCGAAGTACATTGTTTTAATTTCGGATGGCAGGTACGCATCATCGTGATGCCGTGCAAACCCATCATTTGTCTTGATCCTATGTGCACTTGTATCTACACTACATGTATGCCTCCTTCGAATCTCTGCTCGTAGTCGCACGACTGTAATCATTGATGTGGGAGCCTCTTGTTCAGTGGATAATATTATAACCGTATTTTTTTACTCTTGTGCAGTATGATGATATCCATGATAGAAATCTTGTACTACACATTCAGAGGTCTTGTACCGCACAAATCCCATGGAAGTCTTTATTTTGCCGAGTGAGCTGAAGTGCTAGCTGCCCAACCATCAGTTTGTCTGCTGGCCCACAGCCCTAACCAGGGCAAGATAGCCAGTTATAGTGTCGATGGTGCGTTGCCAAATGATGCACTGTTTATGAGTGTGTGTGTGTGTGTGTGTGTGTGTGTTTATGAGTGTGTGTGTGTGTGTGTGTGTGTGTTTATGAGTGTGTGTGTGTGTGTGTGTGTGTGTGTGTGTGCGTGTGTGTGTGTGTGTGTACCCTGATCCACACTACCCTGATCGGAAGCGCACATGGTAGGCACTGGAGAAGTCAATCCTTCTTGACTCTAATCAATCACCAGAATGAATAGAATGGATGCAATCGAAGATAAGCAATGAAATACAAAGGTGTGAGAAGAAAGAGCGTGCAAGTGTACAGAACGCCAAGAGTGTTTTATGGCACATTAGGCGAGAGTGCTAACGCAATAGCTCTATCTGGTGAAGGTGACGCATGCATTAGCAGTATGCATGCTACATACCTCCCCTGCTAGTCAATACAAGTGAACGCAAATCAATGTCTGAAACCAATTCAAATTAATTTAATTGACAATACAATCCTTGAAGCGTACAGTAGCATATAGGACTAGCTGAACTACCAGTCAGTCTGGTAGTTCAGCTAGTCACTTTCTTCATGTGACGAAGTCCCTGAACCTGACTGGAAACCGAACTCTGCCCCCAGACCATGAAGTGCTCTTGGGCTGCTGAGGCGCTGACTCCGACGATGCGGTGTTCTGCAGAGGCTGTTGGCCGCTGGAGTGATCTTCAACACCGCTATCCACGAAGGCTGGCTTCAATCGATCAAGAGAGACTGCTCCAACACGACCCTTGATTTCTATTTTGAATACCGGATAAGGTCCGTCATACTACCATAGGATCGCTGCAGCGGTGACTCACTTGACCGTATCATGTCGGACGAACACATGTGTACATGCCTTTAGGTCAACCAGAATACACACTTGTCTAGGCGGCTGTTAGCGTTGGGCCGCCGGTCTATCATGGCTACATGGAGACGGCGGTTAACACAGTCTGCTGGTTCCAATACGGCCTCAGAACTAGAAGTAAGCATGTCACCAGATAGCCGGAGTGTTTTCCCGTAGACCATTTCCGAAACTGTGGCGTCAAAGTCCGTCTTCACGGGATGAGCGAATGCTGAGCAAGACGAGAGGAAGACACTCGCTCCAGTCAGTGGAGTTGGGTGAGGCGTGGATCGCAGCCTTCAATTGACAATGGAGTTGTTCGACAGCCCATTAGCTGCCGGATGGTACGACGTTGTCCGAATACGCTCAGCTCCGAGGAATTTCATCAGGCGAGACCATGATGCTGACTCAAACTGTCCACCTCAGTCAGTGGTAACTGTCTGCGGAGCTCCAAATCGGGCAACCCTGTGACTAAAGTATCGGCTGTTTTATTTGAAATGGGAATCGACTCTGGCCATCGCGTGAAACGGTTAACTATTGTGAAGAGATACTTGCTGTCGTTGGAGGCCGGAAGTGGGCCTACAATATCCACGTGTACTTGCGAGGAGCGAGCCGTGGGGGCAGGGAACGAAACCAATGGTGCCACAGCATGTCGATGAAGCTTAGATTGATGGTAGGCAACACACTGGCGACACCACACAGCAATGTCCTTGTTCATACCGGGCCAGACGTAGCGTTCTGCGATGAGGCGACGGCTTCCACGAACCCCGGGATGTGCAAGACCATGAAGGGAATCGAAGATAGCACGGCGGAAATTGGATGGAATGATGGCCCGTTGGCAACAGTTGATGTGTCGCAAATGATTGGCCTGGCAACTGACGGTAGACTGGTCGGTTCCCAGACAGTGCTGGGTGCTGGCTTGGACTGCGAGCGAAGCCTTGCAAGGTCTGGATCCTTCTCCTGAGCATAGCGAGTTCGTTGAAGTCGATGCTACCGACGGCCCACGGGGAGGCGATGTGACAGCGTGAGAGAGCACCTGCAGCTGCATTTTCGGTGCCTTTCAGGTCGTGAACTCGTCGGCAATGTAGCTGTGGCGCTGCTGCCTGGGACTGACTTTGCGATTGGCTGTGTATGGCATGTGTAAGTGGCGCATGGTCAGTGTACACGTGGAGTTGTCGTCCTTCCAGCAAATGGCGAAAATGTTTGATGGCCATGTATTGCTAGGACTAGGAGCTCGGTTCAAAATGTACCGTGCCGGGTTTCTGCAGGAGTGAGTTTCCTCGTGAAGAATGCAAGAGGATGCCAGTCATTCTGCATACGCTGTTGAAGCAGAGCTCCGACAGCTCAGTCAGATGCATCAGCCATCAGACTACTCTCATCCTCCGGGTTGAGGTGGCGCAGGGCGACTGTTTCTGCAAAGGCGTCTTTGACTGCAGAAGACGCGGCAGAAGAGGATTCGTCCCAGGAAATGCTCTGGTTCTTCTTCCGCCCCCTCAGCGGGTTCGTGAGGGGTGCCAGGTTGTCTGCTAGATGTGGCCGAAAGCAATGGTAGAATGTCACTGTCCTAGAAATTCCCAGAGTTTCTTGACGCCGACTGGTTTAGGAAGTTTCTTATTTCGTCCAGGCATCGCTTCAGCGGTCGAATGCCCATGGCATCCACATGGTGCCCTAAGAAATCCAGGAAGGACTTGCCCAGTTCAGACTTCTGTACGTTGATGATGATACCGTTGTCGGGTAACCTCTGTGTGAAGAGCTCTCGCATGTAGCTTGTCATCCAAGTATTAGTTGTTGCTGCCGAGGAGCTGTTGCATGCGCCGAAGCAGCTTGCTGGGTAGCTCCTATTGGCAAAGCAGTTGGCGAAGTCGAAACTGCTCGCTACGTTGTGTTCTGTTCTGGCGATCAAGGCTCAGGACCACTATGTCACACAATGTGGTGGTACATGTATGTACATGTACTTCGTTTTCTGAGACGAAATACGGCGGGTGGCAAAGTGCGCTTCGGCTTGAGCAAACCAAACAACGGAATCCTGGGGCCAGTAGCGAGGAGGCTTGAACGATGCTGTGGCGGCCTGTACGTCAGTTGCAGATCCGGATGCTGCAGAATCGTTGGAAGGAGGAGATGCGTTGCCTGATTCCACATACATGGTTGCTGTATCACGTCGGGGTCACCAATGAGGCGCACACGGTAGGCACTGGAGAAGTCAATCCTTCTTGACTCGAATCAATCAGCAGAATGAATAGAATGGATGAAATCAACTGAAGATAAGGAATGGAAACTGAGGGCGTGAAATACAAAGGCGTGAGAAGAAAGAGCGTGCAAGTGTACAGAGTGCCAAGAGTGTGGATGCCAAATTAGGCGAGAGTGCTAATACAGTTTCTAGCTCTATCTGGTGAAGGTGACGCATGCATTAGCGCGCATGCTACAGATCCACACTACTGTATAAGCCATTATTCTAACGAGGCGCATATTATAACGATTTCCCAAAATTGACTGGTTTACGTGTACCAAAGGTAACGATTCTTACTTATTCTCAACGCTCAATAGGACGGTATATGTATCGATTTCTGTATAACGATTTCTTTCACAGATTTCTCCTCGTTAATTCGTTAGAGTTAGCACTTCGGTTTAATTACGAGAGAGCTTGGAAGCTCAGGGCCCTGCGCTATGCTTTGTTGCCTAGCTCATCGTGCATGTTGTTAGAACTGATGGAAACGTTTTTTCCTTTGATTAGCTACTTCATTGTATTGCAAAAACGTTTCAATGAGTTACTGAAGTAACGTCTTCTGCATAGCTATGGGACCGGCGCTGACTCTGCCGATCACGGGCGTTCTGGAGTCGACGGGATGTCTGTCCTGCCGTTTCCTGGGACCGGCGCTGACTCTGCCGACCACGGGCGTTCGTCTTCTTCTTATTATTATACTGACGGCAACTAACATCCATTCTTATTGCATTTACTCGTCTCCCTACTTCGTATTTCTTTCCGGAAAATCTCCCCATACAGCAGGGAGTCGTTTACATAATATGACTCCCTGCTATACATCTACATGACTGTATACACGTTATAATTATTATGCTATCGGCCTACATGCGATTCCCGGGCTGTTCGACAGGCGGCCCAGCCAGCCTGCTAGTGGGATCTCGGCCTCGCACACAAATCCACACAAAATGGTACTGCACTGAATGCATTCCCCGATACACTTCGCATATATACTCATTCTCTTGATGGTACCGTACACTTGATGGTACGGGACAGGTACGGGATAGCGCCAGGCATGCCGATGGCACAAACAAACAAAAATATTGTGGCCAGCTGTCTTTGTTGGTACGGTACGGTACGGGACAGATACAGGATAGCGCCAGGCGTGACACAAACAAACAAACAAACAAACAAACAAACAAACAAACAAACAAACAAACAAACAAACACCAAATTAAAGCTGTGTGGACCCTGGCTAGCGCCAGACGTTACTGAAGTAACGTCTTCTGCATACATGTAGCTACGGGAATAATAATTTACAGTACCCTGATCCACACTACTGAGTACTGTACATGTAGCCTGATTAGTTAGGTTGACAGCATGAAACAAGGTGGACCAAGGTCCACCTTGTTTCATGCTGTCAACCTAACTAGCGTGAACTATAACAAGGTTTATCTAATACTGGTTTTTGAACCAGTATGTACCCTGATCCACACTACCCTGGTTCACATTAGTACTACCCTGGTTCACACTACCCTGTATCCACACTACCCTGACTAGGCATATGCGGATAATGCCGGCAGAAAAATTGGCAGAATTCGGTACTTTTTCTGGTGAGTTTCATGCATGTTTGGTATGTGGATAAAGAAATGGAGCAGAATTCGAGGAATTGCCCGCCATAAGGTTTGTATGGTTCTGCCAATTTCACTGCTTTTCGAGCAGAATCTGCCACATTTTCGAGCATTATCCGCCAATGCCTAACCCTGTATCCACACTACCCTGATCCACACTACCCTGATCCACACTACCCTGATCCACACTACCCTGTATCCACACTACCCTGATCCACACTACCCTGTATTCACACTACT